CTAGTGAATACTGAAGGGAAGTATTCATTCAGGACCTCCCCTACCTCGTCCGACTCCACACACAAGTTCCCTCTACTATCCCTGACTGGCCCTATTCTCACTCTGGCCATCCTCTTGTTCCTCATATAAGTATAGAACACCTTGGGGTTTTCCTTAATCCTACCCGCCAAGGTTTCTTCATGCCCCCTTCTAGCTCTCCTAAGTGCATTCTTCAGTTCCTTCCTGGCTACCTTGTAACCCTCTAGAGCCCTGTCCGATCCTTGCTTCTTCAACCTTAAGTAGACTTCCTTCTTCCTCTTGACTAGATGTTCCACATTCTTGTCATCCAAGATTCCTTCACCTTGCCATCCCTTCCTTGTCTCAGTGGGACAAACCTATCCAGCACTCGTAGCAAGTGCTCCCTAAACAACCTCCACATTTCTGTTGTGCATTTCCCTGAGAATATCTTATCCCAATTTATGCTCCACAGTTCTTGCCTAATAGCATTGTAATTCCCCCAGCCCCAATTAAATATTTTCCCATACCGTCTGCTCCTATCCCTCTCCATGACTATAGTAAAGATCAGGGAGTTGGTCGGTTGGATGTGGAAGGGATGTTCCTCTTGTGAGTCAGAGTTGAGCTATGAGGCACTCTTTTAAAAGTTTTCTTTTCAGGGCAGAAATGGAAATCATTTTCTCTCAAAGGGCTGTGCAACTTTGGAACTCTGCCTCAGAAGACAGTGGAGGCAGCTTCACTGAATATATTTAAGACAGAGGCAGATATATTCTTGGGCAGGGGAATCATGAATTATCAGAAGAAGATGGGAATTTGGAACACAAACAGATCAACCATGATCTTATTGAATTAAGGAGCAGTCTCGAGGGGCTGAATGGTCTACTTGAGCTCCTATTCCATTTATTTGTAAGCCATATAGACAATTCTTTTTCGAAGTGTCAGTCTCTTATTTCAATATGTATTAACAAACTTACTACATCAGCAAAATAATTTTTTTTATTTTGCCGACAACTAGGTTTCTGTACTAGACACAATATCCAGACTGAACTGGTAGACAGATCTCTTGATGGTGCACATTACTCATGTCACCACTGGTTTGGTATGACAAGACACACAGCAAATGCTTAAAAATTCACTGTATTCTCACCATCTCTCCTACAGTGACATAAGCATAATTGTCAGCTTATCAGAAGAGTTTCATACTTCTAAATGCACATCATGTTACACCAGCACATAGAACATTTACATCAATGAGATAGGCATCGACTGTCAATGTATATCATCAAAAATGCAAAATCAAAGACCACTTCCGCAAATTATGTTTATGGATGTTGCCGTTCAGGTGGAATAAGTATTGATAAGTGACAAGTCTCAGGAGTATGCTGACTACGATTACAAAGGTTGAGTTTTCCAGCTATCAGTGCAAACTGGAAAAGTCTCTAGGTCATTCCCTGCGCCTAGTCTAATCCTTTTTGTTGTTAACCACAATATGGATGTACAAATTGAAACTTGAACCATAAGAAAGCATGGCACTTTATCACTAATTCTGTTGGGACCAATCATGAGACAGGCGAGAAACAAAAATAAACACTTCTATAAGCATTTTGTTATTTTATAGTAAGTCTTAAGTTACGTGTGCATTGAAAGTGCATTCAAGCAGGTTTTAAACAGAAAGAGGCTATATTTCTTAAGAATTTGAAAATGTAACATTTGTATTAAAAGTTACAAAAGAACATAGTTCAATGTCAATACAAATGTCTAAACTAGACTTATTAAATGTAAACTGGACTTTTGCACATGTTAAAATATTTTAAAACTAACAGACAGATGCTTTGATATTGTCTACAGAAAGTATTGACGTAAAAATGCACAAAAACTATGCAGTGTCATTGCGTGAGCTGCAGGTTGTGGCTGGTTTTTAATCCAGATTACAGTACTAGCTATAACATGCTCTGAGTCCAGAGTTCAAGATAAGAGTGTTGATTCTAGGAGGTTCATGATCACAGTTACCTAAAATAGTCAGTCGATGATTTATTACAACTTTCTGATAGTATGTTGAGAAGCAGCAGTTTGAATATGGTACATTAATTAATTAGGAAGGGAAATATACATCCTGTGACAGTTGAGGATGCTTTTCTGATCTCAGAGCTTTTCTGTAGAATGGGAGAGGAGAGGAGAGGGGGCATGCTCCCACATCGCAGTGGTCCTCCAGCTTTCTGTGGTGGTCTCTGATAAATCTTGGATGGTCTCGGTAACAATAGTGTTTGTTCCTCCCTCAGGCTGATGGAGGGGAAATCCTAGTCTTCCCGCAGGGAAGTGGTTGGCTCATCTCCCTGGATGTTCTTGCTCCTTCCTCCCTTCCCAACCTGTTAATATGTCTTTATTTTGGGGCTGGCCATCAATAGTATTTCATTCTCCTGTCTAACCCATCTTAGACAAAGGCCATGGAACAAGTTCTCATATGTCAAATGATTGTTGTCCTTTTGCCCACCTCTACCTGAGGGTTAGTTTTCATTCTTTCTGGGACCAAAAACCTTATTTCTGGTACACTATGTTGACAATGGGATTGAGTGACATCTGATAAATCGTTGACGTGAGTCAGAACCTTGATTATTCTTCTGTACAGATTTCTATACATTTTCAGAAGGGTGGTTACTGAGGTGGCACAGTTAGATGAGGTCTCATGCCATGCAGAAAATAGCAAATAATGGAATGCTGAGTTAACACAGCTTTAAGGAGACTCCCCCCACCCCTGACAATTCTCAGCAAAGGCTTTTGAGAAAACATATTATTCAGCTATACTAGGTCAATAGGTACAATAAGGCAACCTTTTCCATTTCCATTCATTCCTGAAGCCTAATCTTACAGGTCTGCTTCACTGCAATATTGTTCTCCCAATGTTTAGTAGTGACAGGAAACTTGTGTAAAATTTTAACACTGTATTAAAAACAACAAGAAGTTTCAAGCATGTTCTGTCTGCTTTCCATATGGGTCTCAATAGTTTGTATTTGCTTTACTATAATTCCCCTCAATAACTTTGTAAATAACTGGAAGAGTATAAACTATTTGACTTTTGACAATGTCATCATTGTATTAAATGTAGTATTTGTTCTGAATGGATTACACAGTAAGAATGCATCTGTTTGCTTTGATCTGTACATGAATAAATTCTTGATTATCGTACAAATAATACAGATAGATATTTGTTTAAAGCTTCTTCAAATGTAATGAGAAATCTTAGTTGTTAATGATGTGCTATGCAAATAAATCAAGAAAGTTTTCTTGAATTTTGATGCCATTTTTAGTCTGATTTAAAGAAAGATCAGTTCTTATATGACATCATGAAAATATTTCCATTTGTGATGGGAGTCCGAAATTGTGAGCCATAAATGTATTCAAAAATAAATCCAATATAGAATTCAGGAGAAAGGTGATAATTTGGTGACA